CCGAGGCCGCCGTCCGCCATGGCCGGCGAGCCCGCGCTCCCGAGCCTCTCGTGCTCGCTCCAGGGGCATCGACACGCTCCTGGCGCCTCAGGAGGCCGCCTAGCCGCTACGTTTGCTCGCTCGAGCACTGTAGCACCGGACCGGCTCGAGCCCAACTCCGGCCGCCGCCATTCCCGGCCACCCCAGCAACCCCCACCATCACCAATGGATGCGCGCTGGCCCCAGCTAGCCCTAGGTCCAAACGGCGCTCGATTCCGTGGACTACAGCGCGAACCCGACGCGTCTCCGCCGCTCGGTTTGGTCGTCGCCGGCCCAACTCCGGTGAGGTGACGTGGCGTCATTAGCCCCAGCTAGCCCTAGGTCCAAACGGCGCTCGATTCCTATATATTCCCTGTTTATCTTGTTTTCTTTTCTGTTTTTATGCGTTCTGTTTTTGCTTTTCTTTTTTCTTTTTGTTTATAAGTAGTCGGTTTTAAAGTTATTTTTGGGTTGTCGGGTGAGTGTAAATGTACGTACATACATACATACATACATACTATATAATACTTCCCCGTCCTATAACGTAACATATTTTTTGACACTACAGTGGAAAAAAAATGTCTTACATTATGGAATGAAGGGGGTATGTATACTATTATATGATTATTTTTTGCATATTAGAAAATTTGCAATTTTAGTGCAAAATTGTTGTAAGTTTTTTATTTTCTTTTTGAGTGATAGGCGCAGGTTGACCGACCAAAATTCGGCCGGTCGTCATCGCCCCACGCGCAGCTGTACGATGGATTTTCTAAGTAAACTTTTTAAAATTTGACCAAGCCTATTGATAAAACCCGCAATGATCTGCGATATCAAATATATTTAATATCAAAATCCAATTCATAATGAATCTGATGAATTATATTCGTTTTTTAATAAGAAGTTGATAAATTTTGTTAAAACTTGGTCAAACTGGACGAGAAATATGATAAGCCAATTTGGGCTCCAGCCGAGTAAACCCGGCCCATACATTAGCTGATCCAATGTGATGAGTTGCCGGACACGGAGAGCGTACGCTCTGCCTTCCCGCGCGAATCCGTGTCCGACCCGCTCTGTCTCGGCCAGGATCGAGTGCTTAAATTCTCACGCAGCAAACCAAACCAAGCACCGGTAGCAGCAACAACGAGAGCCCGCCGGCGATCGATCGATTGCAAGAACTCGAGCTACTACTGGTTCACGGAGAGCCGGCGATCGGTTGCTTGCAGATCATGGAGACGGTGAAGAAGAAGCAGCTGGAGGCGCAGCTGGAGGCGGCGGACAAGCTGCTCGCGGCCGGCGACCTCAGGAGGGCCAAGATGCACGTCGACATGGCCGTGGCCATGGACCGCTCCGGGGCCTGCCCGGAGGCCCAGCGCGCGCGCGCCGCCTACAGGGTCCTCGCCGCCGACAAGGCCAACCACTACGCCGTCCTCGGCGTCGCCGCGCCGCCCGGCGGCAGGCCCACCAAGGAGTCCCACGACGCCGTCAAGTCCCAGCACAAGGCGCTCTGCGACATGTTCGACCCCGGCAAGGCCGGCGGCACCAGCGCGGCCATGGCCGGCGCGTTCAAGCTCGTCAACCAGGCGTTCGCCGCGCTCACGGACATCAGGAAGAACGAGGGCGCGGTGCCGGGGAGAGCTCCCGCTCCTCGCCACCGCCTGCCGCCGCTGCTCCCGGTGCCGCGTGCCAAGGCCAAGGCGGCGGCCGCGCCAGCCCGGGTGGTCGTGGTGGAGGCCGCCGCCGACGAAGATCCTCTTGCTGCTGTCTTCCTGGACAAGCCGGTGGTGCCAGAGCACAAGGGGCATGACGCGGAGGCAGTAGAAGACGAGGAGGAGGACTACAACGCCGGCGGCCGCGGCCGCGGTGGACGTCGTTGATTAGGGAAGGAAGGCCGATCAATCAAGAGTCACTAAAAATATTAGTCGGGAGTAGTACATTGTTTGCTTGTTTAGTTCAAGATGTTACATTGTTTTCTTGTGTTTCTTCTTGAGTCAAGTTGATTTATATGTACCCTGTTTGATTCATGACTTGGGATGATCATGAGATTTATTGGCAGTGGATTCTTTTTGTTTGCAATTCGAATTTGTTGTGGAATTGATGGTCGAAACTTCCTAGTTCAAATGGATGAAGGCTATGCTACGCTAAATGTGCAATTTGTGCGATTATTCACTTGACACCCTGTCACGTGTTAGCAACCTGTTGTTCGTCAACACACTTTGCTTTTGCTAGCCAGGATGGCTTCAAGAAGTGGCTAACTCCGATGAGACGGACCCAGACATTCAAATAACCAATTTTCACTAATCTAAGAAAACAATTTCACTACTACAACAATAACAACAACAAAGCCTTTAGTCCGAAATAAGTTGGAGTAGGCTAGAGCTCGAACTCATAAGATCTGGCAACCAACTCATGATTCTGGCACATGGATAGCTAGCTTCCATGCACCCCCTGTACATGGCTAGTTTTTTGGTGATATTGCAGCCCTTTAGATATCTCTTTATGGACTTCTCTCATTCTAAGTTTGGATTTAAAAAACAATTTAGCTCATTTCAAACAAATAATTTCACTCACTTTAAAAAATATTTCACACGTTTTAAAAGTTTTATTTTACTCGTTTTAAAAAACATATTTCACTTATTTTAAACCACTGATTTTCCTTAGTTCAAGAAATAATTTCACTCATTTCAAAAACTGATTTCAATCATTAAAAATTTGTTTCCCTCATGTAAATGTTTCCACATATTGAGAAAAAAGCAGTGACATCTTTTTTCAAAAAAAAAACACAGTTTCATATATTTGAAATAATCGGTTTCACACACTAGAACAATCAATTTGACAAGACTGATTTCTATTCTTTCAAATAACATATTTCAACCGTTTTGAGAAATGGATTTCATTCATTTAAAGAACATAGTTCATTCATTCAAGTTAACCGAGTGAAGTTATTTTAAAAAACTGATTTCACTCATCTTCACAAGTAGCATATTTCAGTCGGTTATATTTTAAAAATATCATTTTCACTCACTGTAATAAGGAGCTTCACAAATTTTAAATCAATTTCACATATATGAACAAAAACTATTTCACATTGGAATTGAGATGAATGCAATAACTAACTTCACAAATAAACTCAGCGAAATAAGCAGCTTCAGAAAATAGCATGTTCAAACTTTAGTTATATTCCACAAATATCAGTTTCACATACTGAAGCAAGCAGCTTCACAAATAAGCAATTTCACACAGTTGAACTATTTGAGTGAAATAAATGGATTGGAACTTTAAAATTTAAACATATTTGAAATGTAGTCCCTCAGTTCCAAAATAATTTAAGTTCTAGGATTGTCTAAGTCAAACTTTTTAAAGTTTGACCAAGTCTATAGACAACCCGCAAAGATATGCGATATCAAATGTAATAATATGAAAATTCATTTCCTAATAAATCTGATGAAGTATATTTGTTTTTGAAGACATTGATAAATTTTGCTATAGTGTATAGACTTGGTCAAACTTGAAATGAAATATCATAAGTCAATCTGGGCTCCAGCCCAATATACCCGGCCCACACATCAGCTGATCCAGTTGTGATCCAATGTGATGAGTTGCTGAACATGTGCCGGACACGGAGAGCTCTGCCTTCCCGCGCGAATCCGATTTCGACGCCGACCATGTCTCGGCCGGCCAGGATGAGTCCTTAAATTCACACGCACCACACCAAGCACCGGCAGCAACAACTCACGGTGATCGATCGATTGCAAGAACTCACGGTGAGCCGGCGACCGATCGCGCAACTCGAGCAGATGGAGGCGGCGGCCGTGGCGGTGAAGAAGAAGCAGCTGGAGGCGCAGCTGAAGGCGGCGGACAAGCTGTTCGCGGCCGGCGACCTGAGGAGGGCCAAGATGCACGTCGACCCTGCGGGTGGTGGTGGTGGGCGAGCCGATTACCCTGCCGCTGCTGCTGCCTTCGTGGACGAGCCGGTGGCGCCGGAGCAGAAGGGGCACGGCGTGGTGGCAGATGAGGAGGAGGAGGAGGACTACTACGCCGGCGGGTTTAGGGTTTAGGGCCTAATCAATTGTTACTACGAGTTACACAACGTTACTAGTAGCTAGTACATTGTTTGCTTGTGTTTCTTCTTCAGTTGAGTAGATCTACCATATGTAACTTGTTTCGATTCATCATAACTTGTGATGATCATGAGAATTTGTAGTAGAATTTTTTGTTACTATTCGAGTTTGCAGTAGAATTGATGGTCAAAACTTTCATGCTTAAACTGTGTGGTACTCAAACTCTGCTACAAATTGTCGAGTATATACGATTAGCAGTTATCACAAAACCTTTCGACAAACGGATGAAGCAATGCTACTAAAGATGCTCTAAGTTAAACAATATAACAATAAACAAGAAAACATGAAATTTATCCGATTATTCACTCGACGCGAGACATGGCATGCGGGGCCCACGTGCCAGTGACCGGAGCAGCCGCTCCGACTCTTTTTTTTTTTGGTGGATGTCTTGATTCTTTGTTCGAACAAAGTGATGAAGCTAGGCTAGGCTTAGGACTTGCAGTGGTCCCTATGGCAGATGGAGAGGACGATGATGAGGATGATGGCGACGACGATGCCGGCGACGATGAGCTTGATCTTCATGTTCTGGTACCACATCCTGCGGCGGATGCGCGTGCCCTCGGTCCTGAAATCCAAGGCGTGGTCGTGGAGCTGCTCGGTCCTCGTCACCAGGCCCTCGATCTGCTCCCCGCGATCAATCACCTGAGAAGCATCCACCAAGCAAACATCCAAGATCAAATCAACAAAGAAATCCATTCGGCATTACAGTTACTCCCTCCGTTCGTTTTTATAAGGCGTTTCAGACAGCTGGGTTTGAACTGTTTAGTACACTGTCTGAATTTGCTAAAACGTCTTATATAAGTGAACAGAGGGAGTATTTGATTGAGAAATTAGTACCTTGTCGATGTTTTCCATCATGATGCCCTTGACCTCGGAGACCTGGGCCTGCACCTTGGACAGCCTGCTCACCTCCTCCGGGTGATCCATGCAGTACTGCATCTGCTCCTTCAGCCTCGGCCTGGCCGATCACTTCGTTAATACGTACCTTACTTTATATTACCCTAAACCTTTGCTGCTATTTTCATTTATTTTTGGTAACGTTATGGAATGGTCTTTGCGTAATCAGTTACCTTGCTAAATTTGTTGACCACAGCTAATTAACCTCTGTCTCTATGTCATTCAGAGTAATTAACCCACAACATTTAGCCATAATTTGTTACCCGAAATCTTTGGTGAGGCTGTTGGCTGTGGCGGTGGCGGCCTTGCCACCGGCGTACCGCTTGTTGAACTCCTCCTTGATCCTCTCCAGGAAGGCGAGGGGCACCTCGCGCCCCGCCGACTCCGTCGCCACCACGCAGTAGGCTGCATATCATATGTATATGCACATGTCATTTTCAGTTCAGTGTGGATGCAGCTTTGGTTTTACTGAATAACTTTGGCTTTACTGAATATTATGATGTGTATGCAGCTTTGGTTTTACTGAATAACTTTGGTTTTACTGAATATTATGATGTGTATGCTTGGAAAGCAGGGCAACACCAACGCTCAGGCTCTGAATATTGGGCATAAACGGAACAGATTTGTGAAATAAGTACCAAGTGAGAGCTTGTATGCGATTATTCATGGATGATATATGTATGTACTACTATCATCTGGAGGCCATGCAATTTTTTTCATGAACAAGAACCTGACCTCAGAACTAGTAGTAACTAATTACTTTGAGATTGATAACTCTGGCTGGGTTTTGGGAGAACGGAGGTCCAAGATCAGTCAGCTGCACCAGAACTGAAAAAGAAAAATCCTGGGAGACCGGCCGGAGAAGAAAGAGGTAATAAGATGGTGCTGCCGTACCGTAGCCCTGGTGGAGGAGGAAGGTGAAGGCGTGGCCGTCGCAGGTGTAGGTGAAGCGGCTGTCGCCGGCGGGGAGCTTGTGCAGGCACTGCGCGGCGATGTCCCGGAAGTTGCCCGTGTACGCCGTGTGCTCCGCCACCACCATCGTGCCCCGCGCCACCATCGCGTAGATCATCGTCATCTTCTGCCCACCCTCCCCCTCCCCCTTCCCCTGCCGCGCCATCGGTCGATCAACCGGCGACGACCACCACCACCAACACCACAAGTAGAAGAAGAAGAAGAGGGGGAGGAAAGAAGAGGACGAAGAAAAGGTGGAAAACAAGGGAGGAAACAAGGCAGGCAGGCAGACAGGGTTTGGTGGTCTATACTATGTCGCCGTTTTGGAACCTGTCAACGCTAAGTACCACATGATGACGATGATGAGCCGTCCATTTGACTATGATTTCGGGCGTTGATTACTTAGCTGCTTCCTTAAACAAGTGCAAAAAGAAAGACAAGGCTGGTAACACAAAGACATGTTCATTTCTCCCCTCAAAAAATAAAAAGAGACATGTTCATTTCTTGTCATTTTGTTTCCAAGCAACATTCATCTCCTGTAAAGAAAATTCTCCTGTAAAGAAAAATCAAAGCCAACACAGCAGAATGACATGTTTGCAAGCAATCTTTTTTTTTTTTTGGAGATGTGTTTGCAAGCAATCTTGGCTGACTGAATAATAACAGGAATTGCTGTTAGAACACAATCCTAGTAACAGAAATGGGTCACTCAGGCAGCAATAAGTAACCCTTTTTCTGTTTTCTTCCAACCAGCAGAGATACCCAAACTTCAGAAACATCAGCAGTCTTTACTACAAGATGCAGGCGTGGGTACAACTTTCATCACCAAGTTCCCGTCTTCAGGTTCATACCGTCGAGTCGATGTCGATGATACATCATCTTGTGGTCTTCAGACTTTACTAGTCTTACAAGTGGTGATACAACAACAAACTCTACTTACGCTACGTGGTCTGGTCGTACTCGTACAACATCATCATACATGGCATGGTCTGCTACCTAGCCGACAAAACGGCGAGCCGCAGGCGGTCAAATCGACCGTGCGTACATCGCCGGCAGGAGATCCATGCATCATCACACCGCAAGCAGCTCTGGCATCAGAAGCATATCATCACTTGCACTGCCGCGGGTGGAACTTCTCGTCTGACAGGAGCGACGTGACGAGCCGCTGGAGCCGCACGGCCCCACGGCCAGGCTGAAGAAAGCTGGTGTTCCCGACGACCGAGCAGGGGTCGCTCCCGTTGTCCCCTGTCCCCGCGCACCAGCCTCCGGGCGTGGGCGCGTCCGGGCCGGCGTGGCGGGACAGGAGCTCCGCGTCGATCCGGTCGAGCACGGGCTCGTCCGCGTAGAACTTGCGGGCGAAGGGCGCGTCGCTGGCGATCATACGATCCAGGTCGTCCATCGTGAGGTAGTGTGGGTGCTGCTTCGGGGGGTTGTCCCACGAGATGTAGTGCAGGTCGTGGTTCACCGTCGTGTTCTTGAACTCCTCCGCGTTGCAGACAACGGTGTGGAAGTAGCCCTCTGGGGAGGAGATGAAGTTGGAGTAGTACATGAGGACGGTGCGGGGAAGGTTGTCCCAGCCCCATATGCTGTACTCGACCAGCGACCTGGACAGCGCCATCCAGGCTGAACCTGCATCAGGATAGATAGGGATTATCAGATGCATCTACAAACATATCAGAGATTTAAGAGCAAAGATTGGTTCCTCAAAAAGGCCCAGAGTAACAGAGTTAATTGGTCACTCAAAAGCTCTTGAAATGCAATATTTGTGGGGTTTGTGACGAAGAGCAAGATGCTGCCATATTTCCTTGTTAGTTATTATTACACAGGAAAGCTAAAATACTATCATTGGCCTAATCATGCTGCTAATGTTTTGCTTGCCAGTTAGGAATCAAATGCCTTGAACTTCACTGCAAAGGCAGGCTCTGAATCTTACAGCTACTTATCTGGTTGAGATGTTGAAACATGGAGTGTACACATCAGGTCAAGAACTACTTGAGGAACTGAGATTAGATCAGTCTTCTTGGTCTAGAGAGAGGCAGAAAGGTGATTTTTTTGGGGGCTACTAGTAAGAACATTTACAACAGGTGAAGTTTACCAGCACAATAAAGTAACTGAACTGAAACAGAAACAGAAGGTTTTGCTAGTTACATTCAATAGATGGAATGGAAGTTTCCTCAAGGAGTTTCAACAGGAAAGGTAAATCTGAACACAAGGAGTTTCCTCATTTATGCCACGTTTGTTTTCAGCAAAAGAAACAAAAAAAAAGCAACTATTAAGCTAGAAAAGCACCACATTTATTGTGCTGGATTCTGCATGATATCTCAGGAAATAGTAATAAAATAGTAACATTGGCCTAATCATGCTAATGTTTTGCTTGCCAGTTAGCCTTGACCTTGACTGGAAAGGCAAGCTCTGAATCTGGAAGCTACTTATCAGATTGAGATGTTGAAACATGGGGTGTGCATATCAAGTTGAGAACTACTCCCTCCGTTCCAAAATAGATGACCCAACTTTGTACTAAAGTTAGTACTTGAGAAACTCGGATCAGTTGATCTTCTTGGTCTAGAGAGAAGCAGAAAGGTGAAATTATGGGGGCTGCTAATAAGAGCATTTATAACAGATGGAGTTTACTAGCACAATAAAGTAACTGAACTGGAACTGAAACAGAAACTGAAGGTTATACTAGTTATATTCAGTAGACAGAATGGAATTGCTGTCACGCAGGAAAGATAAATCTGAACTCATGGAGTTTTTCCATTTATGATTTGTTTGTTTTCAGCAAAAAAACAAAAAACAGGCAACTAAACTAGAAAAGCATCCCATTTATTACGCAGGGTTCTGCATGATATATCTGGAAACCCTTTGAAGATCTTTTTATGGTAATATAAATCGATGAGAACTGCTACACACACGATGGGTTGTGCCCGATTTGTAGACGACAAGCTGTATCAGCCATCGATCACTTGGGTTCACCTGGGCCGCAGCCAACGATCACAACGTCGTCTTAAAATCGTCCAGCAACTTATCGTGTGCATAGTAATTTCGTAAATCGATTTCAGTTGGTGGCGTGCTCACCAGAACTTGCTTGATCAAACACGTATCAAAGAGAATATATAGTTTCAAATCCTGAACACTCACATTCACTGATAAACTCTTCTACTCCCTCCGTTCACTTCTGTAAGGCGTTTTAGACACTTAAGACGACACCCAAAACAGTTCAATTTTAGCTGTCTTAAAAATCTTACAAAAGTGAACAGAGGGAGTACAACAAATTCTTTCAATTGACGGAAAGAATTTGCAGGAGTCTAGTATATATGCACAGTGAATATAATGCCCTTTGTTATTACCGGTGAAGAGCTTGAAGGCTGTTGGCACGCTCCGGCGCTGTGGTATCCAGAACACGTCAGCCTTCTTCTTCATGTAGAGCCCTGGGTCGATGATGACCGGCTTCGCCCTCTGAAACCTACAAAGATTAACAAACCAACAAGAAGTGCATTAATTTCCCACAGTGTCCATCCATCCAGCCACGGTGCACCATCGACCGATCGGAGTTTTAAGCTGGGAAGGAAGGAAAGTCCTACTCCTTCCATCCGATGTTGCTGGTGTGGTCGATGAAGTTGAGATCGCGCGGCAGCTTGGAGAAGACATGGATCAGATCTGCAGCAAGCAAGCTCACAGGGTCAGATTAGTGGATTTGAACTTGGAAGAAGTGGTGGAAGGAGAGGTCAAATTACCGTCCTGCGTGACGAGCGGGTAGTCGGAGGCGGAGAGGTTGATGAACCAGTCCCAGTCGGACCCGCCGGCGCCGGAGTGGCCCCAGAGGAGGGCCGCGGCGGCGTGCAGGGTGCTGGCGACCATGGTGGGCCCGCGGTAGGTGACGAGGTTGGCCCGCTCGACGACGCGGACGTTGCCGGCGGCGGCTATGACGGGGTGCGCCGCGAGGCCGGCGGCGAGGTCCCGGCGGTCGGACTCCGGCGCCTCCGCATCTAGGTGCAGGACGTAGAGGTTCCTGGGGTGGTAGAGCGCGAGGAGGACGCGGCGGAGAGCGGAGGCGTCCTTGGCGGATCCGGAGATGACGTAGGCGATGCGGGGGAGGGATCCGGCGGCGCGGGAGGCGGGCGGGGTCGGGGCGAGCTTGTGCTCGACGAAGAGCGCCGGGGAGGGCGAGGAGGAGGGGAAGAAGGGGAAAGGGACGGTGGTGAGGAGGACGAGGAGGAAGAGCGACAGCGCGGAGCCGACGGCCAGAGGGAGCAGCCACCGGCGGTCCACGGCGGCGGCGTGGACGACGATGGGCTTCATCGGCGGCGGCGGGAGGAGGCAGCCGCAGCGGCGGCTTGGCAGGAAAAAAGGCCGGATTTTGGCAGGTGAACGGCGGTAACCACTAAAACCGGGTTTAATAATCTACTGTGATATAAAACCAGGTTTATACAAACACTTCAATGATCAAATTTGAGTTCTTTGTGAGCTTACCTTCCACAAATGTTGTTCGTTAATTCGATTTCAATTGTTCATTTGGGTGCTTAGGGGGATAACATGTTCTGCTTTTTCCTTGGCTTAATCAACACTTTTTAACACAGCACAAACATAGACACTCATACATATTTCACAAGAAAAAAGACACTCATACATACACACATACGACTTGTATAGGATCTGACCTTTAGGTGAGAATCGTAGGATCAACACCAAAATTTCATGTTTAGACATTTTAAAAAATTCTGAATTTTTTGAAAACATACCTGCAAAGTATGTTTACAACTCTAAAAAAATCAGCTTCAAACCCGGTCTATAGTAAGAGATTCAATAAAGACAAATTCGACTATGAATAGTGTCATCTTGGGGTGAATAGCATTTGACAATATTCACATCCGATTTTCTCTTTTTTGGTTCTCTAAGTGTACTCTGAATTAGGAGTTGAAACCTCTTGAGGTTGTACATCAAACATGGATGTGTGTTTATAACTATTTTTAGAAATTTTGAACATGTTTTGAGTCTTTAAATAGATTGATCTATTTGATCTCACCTAAAGGTAGATCTCATACAAGTCTCGCCCTCACACGCCACCCCGCGCGCGCGCACACACACGCACACTCCACCCCTTACAAGCACCTTCGAGAAACTGAGTCGACACATCATCTTGAGATTGATGAAGTCGCCACAAATGCCTTCATAGTCGACGGGAACGTCTCCTCCTACTGAACGCACATCGCCGGAAAGCTTGAAATAAATCCAGAAAAAGCTCAAGTTCAGGACTTGAACCCTGGTGGGCTGGGGATATCACTGTCCTCCTAGCCATCCAATCATAGGTTAGTTTGCATCAACACTTAACCTTGATTCTAACAATTTGGGTATCAATGATTTTTTTTTGTCATGGTATTTTCCTTATCAATGTCTAAAACACGACTTAGTATGAATTCAGTGAAGTTAACAGATTTATCTATAATCTGTGGGTTGGGTTTAGTCCTTGTTGTACAATTTTTTCATTTCTTTATCAAATATATTAAAACAAGTTGCATCCATCCTAATAACCCGCACAACAATACAATTGCAGTTCCACAAAACAATTAAAAACCATAACAAATATTAGGCGCGAGCCACGTAGTTTCGTATGCATTACAGAGTGAAAACATGGGGAGAAGAGGACAACATCTTGGTGAGTCATTGCTTATCATGTACTAATAACACATAAGACACATGCTCTAACAATTTTTTTGGTGAAAGCTAAGAATGGTGGATCCATCTGAAACAACCTACGGAAGTCCACAAGTTAGCGTTCATGAAAGAGTAAACTATAAAACACTTAACCATATGTTTTTTAGTACAATACAATACCAAAAGCAGGACATGGAAGTGTCACACATCATTACTCATTGTATGTTTCCACAAAAGAGTAGATACTTTATGAAAAATGCCATTTATATAATTACCACACAATGGCTAATACATGACAGAACAAAGAAAGTTAGTGGAAGATGACATCTAGATGCATTACTTATCATGTTCTATTACCTTGTATAACACAATCACTAGCAACATGGTCTCGGTCTTTCTTTAAAGACCCGCACAATTACAAATTAAGTTCCACAAAAAACCAAAGTAAGAAGCCTTGGAATAACATTACACGTGGTCTCTTTCGAGGAAAATTGCAGATTCAGTGCACGAAACATCATCTCAACAACTTGCTAAAATTATGTGTGCTTGCAAAGTAACTTTGGTCATCCAACTAAATTTGTAAGCATTCAAAAGCAACACAGAATGGTAGACATATATCATGTCACATCATCCATTATAAATAGTGGCCTCATCTCATCTTTCATCTTCACCACTACCAAAACAACATTGACAACATGAAGATCTTCTTCCTCCTAGCTTTCCTTGCTCTGGTAGTGAACACTGCTATTGCGCAATATGCGGAAGTTCCCAGCCCAGCTGCGCAAGCTCCCACCGCGGATGGTTCTGGGGAATGGGTTGCGATAGCACCTAGTGCGAGTGGTTCTGAGAATTGCGAGGAAGAGCAGCCAAAGCTAGACTCTTGCAGCGATTATGTTATGGATCGGTGTGTGACGAAGGATATGCCGCTCTCTTGGGTCTTTCCTCAGACTTGGGGGAAGAGAAGTTGTGAGGAGGTCCAAAACCAGTGTTGTCAGCAATTGAGGCAAACGACGCCGCGTTGCCGCTGCAAGGCTATATGGACATCAATCCAAGGCGATCTAAGTGGCTTCAAGGGCCTTCAACAAGGTCTGGAAGCCAAAATGGTGCAGACGGCCAAGAGCCTTCCCTCCAAGTGCAACATTGATCCAAAATACTGCAACATCCCCATCACTAGTGGATATTACTGGTGATGTAGCTTCCACTGGTGACCAATAAACTATCACATACCACTGTATGTGACCAATAAATGTGACCATGGAATAATATGTACTTTAGTTTTCCTTACTTATGTATGTATGTGTTTCTCTTACAAACATCTAATCATGCATGTGTCTATCAAGAAAACAATGTTAATTGTGCCAGTACAAAAGGAATGTGTGAAGCGCAAATACGCCTCTCATTGCGTTTTGGTATACATGGCGAAAAAATTAAATGGGCTAATTAGGGCATACTTGTGAACAGATTTTAGTCCCAACCGTGAAGGTTGTCGAGAATCAAAGAACCATTAAAAATGGAAATAACACAAAAATGTGCCTCGGTAGAGGTTATTTTATAGGCTTTACTCACAACGGTTGGGAGGGGGTCTCCTATTGAGACCTCCTCTTCTTCGGCGCCTTAAGCGCCCGTTCCCATAGCGGGCGCTCGCGCAGCAGCCTCGGGTGGGCCGGCCCAGCAAGCACGCTCACACCTTCCTTTTCTTCCTTCTATCGCTAGCTCCTTCATGCACGTTTCTTTCGTTTTTCTTTTTGCTGTTCGTCCCTTTCGTTCACAAAAACTGAAAACCACATGGATCTGAAAATTAAAAATTTGAAAAGCAGTTCATGAATTTGAAAAAGTTCATCAATTTTGAAAGCAAAAAAAAAGAAAAAGTTCATCGGATTTGAATTTTTTTGCTGAATTTGAAAATAAGTTCATCAAAATTGAGAAAAGTTCACTGAATTCAAAAAAAGTTCATCAACTTTGAATAAAAGTTCATCAAAAATGTGAAAAGTTCACTGAATTTGAAAAAAGTTCATCGACTTTGAATAAAAGTTCATCGATTTAAAAAAAAGTTCATCAAATTTGAGAAAAAGTGCATCAATTTTACAAAAGGATTCGGCGCCTTTGAAAAAGTTCACGCATTTATGAGAAAAGAAAAAACAAGATAGAAAAAAAAAAGAAAACAGAAAAAATAATTGGCTTTCTCATATTGTATAAAGAAAAGAAAAAAGAATAGTAAGCACATCATGTCTTCTGATCTAACTGGTTAGAGCATCTCCAGCCGCGCCCCCAACAGACCCCCACGCCCCTTTTTAGGTGCCGGCACCCAGAAAACGGTCCAGTCGGACCCCCATGAGAACCCATTTTTTGCCGGTTAGGCCCAAAACTGGCGTCGGCGGACCCAACCCAAACTCGGCACGCTGGGGCGCCGGGGGTGCCGAGGCAATCGTTTTTGGCGCCAAAGAACGGTGGGCCCACCGAGTCAACGAACCTCGCGCCTCGTCGTCCTCACATCGCCTCGGTTTCCCGTGGGGAATCAATGCCAAGGCTGTCGCCAGTCAGCCTTCCATTGATTCCTCATGAGTGGTGCGGTGAGGCGACGCGCCCCCTCCCGCCACGCGTACACATGATTGCCGCCTCCGGCCGTTATATAAAGCAGCACCTCCCTCGCCGGTGGACACACCCATGATGGGTTTCGTAGTAATTTCAAAAAAATTCCTACGCACACGCAAGATCATGTGATGCATAGCAACGAGAGGGGAGAGTGTTGTCTACGTACCCAACGCAGACCGACTGCGGAAGCGCTGACACAACATAGAGGAAGTAGTCGTACGTCTTCACGATCCAACCGATCAAGCACCGAAACTACTGCACCTCCGAGTTCGAGCACACGTTCAGCTCGATGACGATCCCCGGACTCCGATCCAGCAAAGTGTCGGGGAAGAGTTCCGTCAGCACGACGGCGTGGTGACGATCTTGATGCACTACAGCAGCAGGGCTTCGCCTAAACTCCGCTACAGTATTATCGAGGACTATGGTGGCTGGGGGCACCGCACACGGCTAAGGAATAGATCACGTGGATCAACTTGTGTGTTTCTGGGGTGCCTCTGCCTCAGTATATAAAGGAGCCAAGGGGGAGGGGGGCGCCGGCCAGGAGGAGGGCGCAGGAGGAGTCCTACTATGAACCGATAATATCACAAAAATCAAGTACCTTTTGAATCTCAACTAATGTCAAGGTCCAAAAGCCAAAGTAGTATTGACAGTGGTAATGGGCAAAATTTAAAGCCCAACTGATGTTGTGTACTATCAGAGTCAAATTTGTCTTTTTCTCCCGAACTATATTATAAATTATACTTCAAATTTGTGACACGGGTGTTCCCTCTTGCAGGTTGAATTTATGTTGGAACTATTTTATTTCAAAATTTAATTGGATTATAATATTTATAGTAGAACTACTGTCGCATTTGAATATTCTCATTCATGAAGATTTGATATGCTATTATTTTGATCCGTGTCCGTGAACCAATCCGTAGATAAATAGTGTGTCCATTTTGTGGGCCCGCATTGAAGGTGCCTTTAAGGCCTATCTTGCCGACGCAGTGGTCGTGGTCATGACAGCAGGCGTCAAGCCGTCAAGGTCTTCACAACGCCACAACTATCCTTCCCTGTCTCCACCAAGTTCATAGGCAGTGCAACGGCGGCGGACCCGTGCGTTGCCACGAAACAACACATTTACGCACAGTGACATGTTTTTAGCAAGTAATATTAAAGATATCAAACAAACATGAAAGCTGCTCCAATAATCACTTATCATGTTAATGTGAGTAGAAATAACAAATAACAATGTTGAGATAGACAATTTAACAAAGAAAAAGGACACCAACCCCTTCTTACGTCCGTAATTCAAGAATAAACGGTCCTTTTCAAGGGTTTGTTATGCTCTCATCAAGAATATCGTTTTCGACCTTAAAAAGAGTTTGAATTTTATATACAGTGCAACTCTATTAAAAGTGCAAGAATAAGCGGGGCCTTTTCAGGCTTTTGTTAGGTTCTCAATTTCACAAGGATTCGCACATTCGATAATTACAATCTTATAAAAATTGCAATTTAGTAGGAGTACTTCCAAGGGTAGAGGGGTTTGAGTTCTTTTGCCAGCTTGCCTTTTGATTGAATACTCCTTGAGCTCCATTATCTTGCTCTTGTCCACATGTCCACATGACACAAGCAAAATCATAGCTAGAAGACGACAACTTGGCTTGGATCCATGCTAAGAAATACTCCCTTCGTCCGAAAATACTTGTCATCAAAATAAATATAAGAGGATGTATTTAGATATATTTTAGTTCTAAATACATTCAATTTTATCCATTTTGATGACAAGTATTTTCGGACGGAGGGAGTATATTGTTTGATAATCATGCTCAAATTAAAAAAGTCACCCTCTCCTAGAAAAAGAAAAAACATTCTCCATTTCTCACAATTGCTATGGCTTCTTCTCGGTGGGCCCACGCTGTCAGTGACACACAGCGGCTAGTGGGTGTCACGTAGCTCACGTGGCAGCGCAAAGAGAGGTCCTTGAAGCCACCGAGCTAAAAAAGACATTCTTTTCCACCTCTTCTGTTCCGGCAGGGGCGGCGGCGATGGCGGCCAGGACGCGGTGGTCGGCGCTGGCGGCGAGCGCTCTGATCCAGTGCTTCGCGGGGGGCAGCTACTGCTTCGGCGTCTACTCGCCGGCGCTCAAGGCGTCGCAGGGCTACGACCAGTCCGCGCTCGACGCCGTCGCCTTCTTCAAGGACGTCGGCGCCAACGTCGGGGTCCTCTCGGGCCTCCTCGCCGCGTGGGCGCCCGCGGGAGGGCGCCGACGCCCCTGGGTCGTCCTCCTCACCGGCGCCGCTCTCTGCGCCGCAGGGTACCTCCCCATGTGGCTCGCCGTCGCGGGTGTCGTGCCCGCCCCGCTCCCGCTCGTCTGCCTCTACATGCTGCTCGCCGCGCAGGCGCAGACCTTCATGAACACGGCCGATGTCGTCACCGCCGTCGAGAACTTCCCCGACCGCCGCGGCACCGTCATCGGCATCATGAAGGTACCTGCTGCCGATCGATCCCCTTACTCTGCTTTCAGTCTCTGCTCTGTTCCTCTGCATCAGTAATTTGCTCTGTGAGTTACAACAAGAAAACAATCCAAAGAAGCATGTGAAATCCACAGGCTCTGTCTGCTCCAATCGTACAAACCAAAAAGAGGCATGTGAAAGGATCTGTTTTGTTCCATTTTTATGTGCAGAAATCTGTTTTGGTGGCATACCACAGTGGCACAGTAGTACAGAGATTTATGCTGAAAGTAGTCAAGGAGAGTAATTTTGATGCAACACAACCTTAGAGACAAACAGTTCTAGAGAAGTACAATTCATCCAGCACAACCATTCTGGGAATCCTTGCTCCCTGGGAGGCAGCATCACAGGTTCTAGAAAAGTACAGTTGTGTAGGTACAGGAACTGTTTCATAATAATGTTTTCTGGTCCAGATACATCAGAGAGGCAATAATGCAGTGTTCATTCGCTGGCCTCGTCCTTTACCTACCACACCAGGTGGAGCTATCATTTTTGTCTTAATTGCCCGAACTTTCAGTGTTATTGTCTTCAGTTCCCGCCTAACTGTATTCATAACTCTGATGATGTGAACTTGTGTGGATCCAACATTGCACACACTTTATTTGCTCAATAATCCCAACCTACACTCTGTTTCGCAGATTATGACATCGATTCATCTGTTTAATTTCCAAACAGGGTTTTCTAGGCTTGAGCGGCGCAATACTGGTCCAAGTACAGCGCACTCTCCATATTGATCCCGGCAGTTTCATACTTATGCTGGCAATACTACCCACAGCCATCGCGTTGCTGCTCATGTACTTTGTCGACGTCCACAGCGCTCATCAGTGGTACAACAAGAAGTTCCTCGATGCTTTCTCTCTCATGGCCGTTACTGTTGCTGGGTTCCTGATGGTTGTCATAATCTGCGACCAAGTTTTCATGATAAGTTCAGCTGGGCAGAGTGTTTGCTTCGCGATACTCTTGCTGCTGATCATGTCTCCAGTGACTATTGTTGTAAGGGCTCAGAGGTCCGAATCGAAGCAGCGAGAAGAACCAACGTCGGAAGAACAAACTGGTTTACTTCTTCATGAGGAAACGGCGCAGCAGGATTCAGAGAACGCCAGCTC